TATATCTAATGCCACAGAGGGAGTTGAAAAAAGGTTGCTACCTTTAAAAATGTAATCTAAACTATTATAATTATTTGGTAATTTTGATTATATAATATATATGTATGATCATAAATCATATATATAAGAAAAATTTCAAACTATTCCTTTCATTTCAGAACATCTGCATTAATACTATTTATCTGTCATTTATACTGTTCGTGAACTCTGAGAAAAAATCTCTGATGCTGGGTAACAACAGTATAGTTTCATGGATTATTATGAGACCGCACTTATCTTCAGAGAATGGAATAATTAACTTCATTTAATAAGAAGGGGGGTACCTTTATTAAATTCTGACAATGATTTAGAATTGCTTCCTTCCAAAGTCAGCACAGATAATGGGGCTCGCTTATTCAGAGGCTCCACGCTGTCCCTCATCCTCCCAGAGAAGGGAACCAGAGGAAGTAAGTGACTGCAGTGTGGGGATTTAGGAGAGGCGTGGAGAAGCACTTTCTTCAGGAGGATAATAATTGGGCTTTCTAGAGTGACAGGCCAATGATGGGCTTATAAATAGAAGTAATTTGCTATCCTTGAAATCTATGTTTCTATAGGAACACAAAGCATACAGGTCCTCTGAAATTATTTTCTACTCAGACTCATCTAAGATCTGTCCTCTTTTATTGAGAGAAGGGATTATCAAAATGTGAAAGTCTAAAAATAGTGGTTCATAATTGAAAGCCTAATTCTTTCTTAATTATAGGTATGCTACAGTGGCACTCTATAATTAGGGACAGTCAGCAGCTCCAAAGTGAGTCAGGCTTTATCATTCACTCCGTACAAGGATGTATATGAGTTCCATAGCAGAAAACCCTGGAAGATAAAGATACAGGGTCTTTTTCCTCACATCTCTTGATGGTTACAAGATTGCCTTTCACTTACACTCTCTAACAGAACAAAGAGAGTATCGTTCATGTTTTTCTACTGATTACCACTGATGGGATATATACTTTTTAAGGTTAAAATTTTAAAACTTAAATTGGAATTCTAAAACTAATGCACACTCACTGAATCTACTAAATTAATATTAATATAACAGTTTGTTATATTATTTAACTGAAATCTGAAAATACTTTAGGCTTAAATTGAGTAATTGACATCACATACGGGCCAAAGAGATAGATCTCTATAAACAAGATGAAATAACCATCTTATAATTTGAAAGAAGGTGCTTTCACCTCCACCCCCCACCCCCCCCCAAAAAAATATGCTTTTAGGAAACATCAGTTAACATCGAGACAAAACACTAAAAGTTTAGAATTCTGTTTTAAAACTGGCCATTTAATCTCTAAATTGTCTTAAAATTATTTTTTTCATTACTTTGCTATTTATATATCTTTAATTAGCCAATTACCCAACTTCTCAAATCAATTTCTCCAAAGGCTAACTCCAAAGCTCTTGCTGTGGTAAGTACAGAAATTGGCTTGATAAACTCTGTGATAGTATAAAATTGTAAATAAAATAAATAATAAAATCCTAGTCATAAACAGTATAAGAAGGGTACAGCTATCAATCAAGCCAAAATAAGCCATATTAGGAACATAAGATAACTGTTAGAACTTTAAATATTAGCAGATGGTAAAAATGGTGAGAGTTTTTTCTTCTACATGTAATTAGCTGTCTTTGGTCTGAAAGTAAGCATAACAGATGGCCAGAGGACAAATACAATAGGTGTCTTGAGTCTGGCTTCAGCCCACTCCATCAATATCTCCTTCCCTGGCAGATTGGCCACCATGATAATCTGCCAGCTTTTACCCTGTCTTGAATCCATCTTACAGGAGCCTTAAACATGACTAGCACTAAAGGACAGTTAAGAGAGAGGACGACCCAAGATATGTGGTGAATGTTATTTTTAGGAATAGATGCAAGGTAAATTTCCTTTGCAACACTCTCCACTAGAAGCTTAGAAATTTGGGCAGAGAGGAAGTTGAGAAAAGATAGCTGCCTTTAAAAGCATAGTTTCAGAGGCTGGTAGAATAGTTTAAATTATGCATGTGGCTCTTATTATGTTTCTATTAAACAGTGCTGAGAGTGGTCAATTTGTTGGCCTGAGTGTATAAATCTGCACATTTATATTTCATGCACTTTTTTTTGTGTTATAGCTCACAATTTTTTAAAAAAAATTAAAAAAGTATTTATTGTAAATCTTCAGTAATTGTGACTCTTATAGAGTACAGCATATATATGATCAGATGTATATTATGGAAAATTTCACCTGAGTCCTTTCATTCAGTCCAAAAGCCAAATATATACCTTAGGACTTCAGGGGAAAATATTAATAAAACATCAATTATATTTTGCTTTTATAATGTCTATGAATTAATTAGCTTTATCTTAGTTTAAATAGCATCTATAAAGAGAAGTTATTTTTTCCAAAGAGACTCTGTTTTAAATTCTTCATATACTTATACAAGAAACTCTATGTGGAAAGGTATGAGCCATGATGGATATGATTGGAAAGCCACAGATTCATAGAAAATATTCTTGGAAGTCAAAAACAAAATTAATATTGTCCTTGCTATTATCATCATGGTACCCAATTATCAAACATTAATAAAGTTAACAAAATTAATCAGAATTTAGCAGCACTGTTTTATTTAATCCAACTTCAAGAAACAAACCTTTTGTGTAGATCATTTTTCAAATCACAACTACGTTATATATTTTCAGTGGAGGTCTTAACATGGCAAGCTCCTATTCACTTTGGTGATGTGTGCTGTTATGTTAGCTTCCCTTTATTGGTACAAACAGAATGAATAGTGTGGTTTTAGGGTACTTTTGAGCCCATATCCTTCTTTCTCTAGACAAGGGAAAGCTGGCTGCAATGGTCTATGCACTGAGACCTCACCACAGCTGATTTGACAGTTCCTTTTGAAGGTATGTTGGCAGGATCAGCAAAACCCTTCTTGAATTTCTACCATTATAATTCTCTAGCATTATATAAGCAAACAAAACAGAGCATGGAGCAGCAGAATAAATTCAGGGAACGTCCTCTTCAAGGAAAAATACTAAATGAAAAGAACCCTTTAGGAGTAAGAGGCCTCTGCACACTGAAGAGCTATCTGAATTTGGACAAATATTCAAATTTATCTGGAAAAAAAAATATATATATATATATATATATATATATATATATATATATATATATATATATATATCATGGTTTTTATGGAATTAGTACACTGAAATACAAGAATAAAAGAGTAGCAGCACTCTTTTGCCCACAGTCATCTAGCCTTTTCATCTTGTTTACTAGGGAATTTGCATATCTTGGCATCTTGGTAATTATGGCATGTTTCTATGATTGACTGAGTTAAGGTATACTGAAAGGCTCTGGGAACTTGAATGTGCCATAGTTGAGAGTAGTTGGTTCTATTGTTGTCCAAACAAGCTAATGACAGTAGCTCTCAAAATAGGTATACTCACCTAGAAGTGAATATCTGGAAACGTTTAAGATAGTTTTAATTAAATAACAGTACAACTTCTTCATTCATAGATCTCATGTATTTCAAGAAGGAAGAATACTAGTAAAATATGTAATATTTTTGCATCCTCTTGGGATGCAAATAACAAAAAATGCTTCAAAATACACTGCTAATTAAGAATCATGCAATATTCTAATTTAGTTCAATAGATTATTATGATCAAGTTAGAGCACTATGTTATATTAATAGTATATTTAAACACATTACATATATGGTTGAAAGTGAGAGTAAATTGTCATTAGTAGTAAACCTGTATTACAACATTCATATGTAGAACTGCATTAAAGTAGCTGCTGATAGATTGACCACACTTCTGCATTTAAATTGCAGTGCCTAATGAAAGCATTAAGCTTCTAAGTCCAACAAATTCCAGGTTATTATCTGTTATCAGCTGTGACTGCCTCCAACCACTATTTCTCCTAACTTCAAGTTATTTGGAAAAAGAGACCAGATGCCAATGTAGGGTGAGATAGTCTTCAAATTATAATCTGCTTCAACTGAAAATGGAATTCTTTAACCCTAATTCTCAAGTAAAATGGCCTAGCTCTCACTCAAATAAACTCAGATACATTCAAAGGTATTTGTGGATTACCAGAGATCATCATATGTCATATATATTGGCTTTAGACCTAAGTTTATCAGCTGTATTTAAACATTTTAATAGATGGAGTTCATATATAGAGATAATAGTACAATAAAATAAAATTATACCAACATCAGGTTATTGGGTTTGTCCTATAAACTGAGATCATAAGGCCACTGATTTTTTTAAAGGTAAAATACATTATAATTACACTGTGCATTTTAAAAAGCTGAAGGCCTTTGTTAGCCTTTTTCTGGAGAGTTTGACAGAAAATTCAGAATTTTCACATTAAAACATAATCTGTTTTCTGACATAAAATTAGCATAACTGATTTGAAAGTGAGTTTTCAACTGTAAACTATGTACAATAAATGATAGTCATACTTAAAATCAAACAAAAAAACCACCATTTTGTTTTAAAAATAATACCAATCTATACTTAACTGTACTTTGCTTCAATTTTGTTCCAAAATTGCAATCAAACTTTATAAAACTAATATTTCATTGCAATATTGTTTTTATCCAAATAAGTGAGGAATCAGAAAACAGATAGAGGAAGAGCTAAGTATAGGAATAGGGTAAGGAGGGGAATAGGGACAAAGCCAAGAATGGAAATAGGATGGAAGGAGACTGGACTTGGGGTGGTAAACACACAATACAACATACAGATGATGCCTTGTGGAAGTGTACACCTGAAACCTATATCATTTTATTAACCAATGTCACCCAATAAATTCAATAACAAAAAGAATGGAAATGGAGTTAGAGACAGAGGTGGCGTTTACTTGCACATAGCACCTTCGTATAGACCTTGAGAGAAGGCAAAGAGGGACAACGTGGAAATAGGTTAAACTTTAAGAACAAAAGCAGAAGGTACAAAGCAGAATCTCTTACCCTGAAAAACTCTTTAGTGGATCCAGAGTCTAATGTTCCATAAGCAATTTCTGTTTGCTTAGAAAGATCCTCGGCACTTTCGATGGGAGACACCATCCTCTCTACAGTCAGGAAGGCAGCTAAGTTAGCCGTGTAGGAGGAGATTATGATCAGGGTAAAGAACCACCACACACCTCCAACAATGCGCCCAGAGAGGGATCTAATAACAAGTATGAAATGGATTTGTAAAGTGAAATGAATGACCTAAAAAAAACAAGTTAGCAGTATTATGCAAATATTAACTTACAGGGACATAATTTTTACTTTTCAATATATCTGCACCTTAATGAAACTGGAAATCATTAAACATTCTGGACAAGGAATACAGATTAACCAGATTTGGTGAGGTACCCAGAAACAAAAACTTTCAGATTCTTTCATAGCTATCACGCCCAGATTGTTTGTGGTATGACATCTCCTAACAAAGCAATTCAAGAAATGTGCACATAATCCATTCAATGCTCATTCTACTTTATCCACTCAGAGCATAAGCAAACATGAACAACACAATCTAAGATCACCAGCAATATTCAGAACAATGTTGATAAACAACCAAATGTTAAAAATAAGAGTATGCATCATAGATATAGCTTTAAACACTGGAAAAACCCTCCCTTTGATTCAGCCAATGAAGCTCCAAACCCCTCAAAAAAAAAAAAAAAAAAAAGATCCAGAATTTCATTAGTTTTTTTGTTTGTGCCAACATGTGGGTTTTAGATGCAGAATAGGATAGTAGATGAAAAAAGAAATGTTAGCTACAAACAAATGTATGAAACAAAATATAATTCTAAATGAATAAAAATTAGATGTTTCATGGCATGGACAGTTATCACCCTGTTCCTCTGTGGCTCCTGCTTAAGAAAAGAAAGCTCAAGGACAAGAAATTAGACACAAAATTTTGCCAAGATATAAAATCCTAATGGCCATAAATTCTTACATAAAATACTTTTTAAAAGCATAATAGATTCTCAATAATTAACTTTAAACCCTAGATAGATAAATACATATACATGTACATACAGAAGTAAATGTGTACAATGCTATTTTAAAAAAACTTGGTGGGATTCTACATATAAAGGCATTTAAATAATATTAACAAATATAACTTTCTTTGCTAACTGCTGTGTCTAAAATTTTGATTTGCTACAGTGAAGAGGAAATACTTCTAAAAATGTAAATCACAAAAATTTGGCAATTTATGACCTAAATCAAACTTTCTACAATTAACAGTAAGAAATATATTTTCTGATGACTCACAGATACTATATCAAATTAGTGGATAATATTTGTAGAATAAACTACTTAAGCAGTCAGGGAAAAGAGGGGGAGCTCATTTAAAACTAATATTTTTTTTAAGATAAAACACAGTTGTTGCTAAAATAAAAAAAGGAGAGAGGGAGCAAGCAGTGAAAACAAAAAGAATGCAATTAAGAGCCTTTATCACAGTCTTTAAGAGATGCAAAGAATTAAATAGCCCTGACCAGTTTGGCTCAGTGGATAGAGCATTGGCTTGTGGACTGAAGCGTCCTGTTTGATTCTGGTCAAGAACATGTACCTCGGTTGCAGGCACCTCCCCGGCCTGGGCCCTGGTCGGGCTCCTGCAGGAGGCAAACAATCTATGTGTTTCTCTCACATCGATATTTCTCTCTGTCTTTCCCTCTCTCCTTCATTCTCTCTAAAAATCAATGGAAAAATATCCTTGGGTGAGGATTTTAAAAATAAATAAATAAATATGACAGGATGAAAAGTTAAACACTACTCATTTATATTCTGAAAGGATATTAAATATATTTTAAATTTGGGAAACCCTTATGTAGACATAACTACTCTCAAAATGTTCACTGTTTCTTCCACATAATGGGAGGTATAATTATATGGCCTGTACCCTGTATTTAAGAGGGCAGATTCTGTACCTTACTGCTCAAACCCCTTAAACAAAACCAATTACATAGTAATTGCTTTTAACACTATGCATTGCATGTTAATTTGCAATATATTTGAGAATCATATTTAAAAATCATTCTCTTCCAGTTGTAAAATAGACATAAGATAGAGACATAAGTTGTTCTATAATTAAGTGATTAAACCCTATTTAATGATATTAAATATGCTAATTTATTTAAAGTGTACAAAATAAAGAACTTATTGGACTTATACATCATTCAAACAGAAATTCTTGAGCATTTTATTATTTACTTGTTAGTGTTTTCAAAGGATCAATTAATGTTTTTGAAAGAGTTCCTGAAAAATTTTATGCAGAGGGCAAATTCAATTTTATGTTTTATGGTAACAGACAAAAACAGTTTTTCTAATTAAATACAAAAATTTAACCTCTCATCATCTGTACTAAAAGAACCAATAAATGCACATAATGTAACATTTCTTTTTTCTAATATTTTTAAATGGCAATACGTATGTTTATTCATTTGAACCTTTAGAGATAGGGTAGGGGAAGAGAAACAGGAAAATAAAAAGCCAATTTCTGAGCATTTTGCTCTCATGATTTCTGTGGTTCTAGTCTTCAGAAAATTATAGTTAACATATTCCAAACTTGATTTCAGGCAAGTGACCAATTCAATCCAATAAATCATTCCAGATTAAAATTTAAATGTTGCATTAATATTAATAATATAGTTCTATATCAGATGTTACTTGGAAGGAAATAATAAATATCTTTTAAAATATTTAAAGAGCATCTCTAAAGTGATCTGTGCATTTCATGCATTATGATGATGATGATTTTAGATGTTAAGCTGCTCTATTCTTTTCTAAACTAGAGTAAGTAATGATCACTGCATTTTAAATAAAGATAATTTGGTTCATTAAAAGTCACTAAATTTGCCAATATTATGTAATATATTCAATTTTTAAAAGCACATTTAACATAAGATGATATATATATGCTGAAAATCTTTAATAAGTGAATTTGCCCATATATTTTTGTAGCAAAAAGAAATCAATTAAAAACCAGGAAAAAAATATACTATCTAAAATATATCTTACCAGAAAATAAAAATTATGACATATGAACTTGTAATAAAATCAACAGTGCACAAAAAAATCATGTTTTAGGAAGCAGGCTTGTTGAAAATTAGAAGCTATCCATATGTCATGGTGGGCCCTGGAATAACATGGATTGTTAGATGTGCCCTGTGCTCCAGCTCCCAAGTGTAAATATGTTTTCTGCTCCTCGATGAGGACTGGACACCAAAACAACCTCCTTCAGAGCCATGATGGACATGGAGCAGGGTCCATCTATGGGAAGCCAGGTCAACATATCCTACTCCATAATAATCTCCCTACACTTCTCCCTCCTAACTCATAAGGCAGAGCATAGTTTATATCACTCTAAGATCATTGCCTTATGTCTCAGGAATAGGGTAATATTATGCTTCAGTAGCCTTCTTACCAAAAATGAATCATTTTGTTATTTTTGGACTAGAGTGTTCTCTGAGATCTAAATTTGGTATTTTTTCTAATTCATTATTAGAAACTTCTCTTTATGTCTTCATCTTACATCAGATATAGAATTAAAACTAAGTATAAAGTTATAACTATGAGTCCTATATATCTTGTCAGAGAGCATCAGAAATGGCATATATATATATATATATATATATATATATATATATATATATATGCCACTAAAAATACCATTGGCATGTTACTAATTTAATGTACTTCTACAGACTAGCCATAGGAAATATGATTAGATTAAGATTGTTTAGAACAATATATTTCATAAAAATTTGACCTATCAGAAAAGTGATTGATTATTTCTGGGTACATTATATTTTCTTTATCTCACTAGGTGGAGTATAAAATAAAAATTGCAAAGCATACAAATTTTTTAGCTTCTCATATATTTTTTAAGTTAATCACTTATTTCCCCCCAAAGTGCCAAAAAATTAACATAATGAAATAGTATTAGAAAAGTCACCCTCTTCTCTAGTTATTAAAATATCCCATAGAATCAAAGGAGGGTAATCAAACCCAATTTAAAATATACCAACAGAAATCATTTAGGCTTTAAATATGAAAGCAAGCACACTAGAAATGGTATGGTTTGTTCTTCAGAAGAGCAAAATATGTCTGTCATTCTTATTCCATGTATATAACATGAACAAAAGCAATATATGTTTTGTGATATACCCATCATATTTAGGCATTCTAGAGTAGGAATTAACATATCATAATGTGAAGAGAGGTGTATACACGAATTTCTTCCATGATGTATATATTGCCATTCAATTATTACCCAACCATGTGTTCCTAAATATTTTTAAAATGTTATTATAATGTCCTTTAAATTCAGCAACCTAACCTTAAAAGAAGCAAATTTTATCATCTTTTCCACACTCTTTTGATGAGCTTGTGATGGGAAAATAAAAGAGATGGGATGTGTGCCAATGAAGTTTTGTAAAGAAGCTCTTGCTTTTGTAGTTTATATGTAATATTGCCCATCTTCCCATATACAGGTCTGTGGATCAACACACAGATGACTGTAAAATGAGAATATGCAGCAAAAACACGGTACCCCTCCAAGAAGGCATGGAATGATAGGAACCTTATGCATTTTACAGCCTCTCCATGGTGTGTATAATTTCACCAGGGAAATATAAGGTCAACATTCAAAGAACATTGCTCAAATATTTCACAGGCTTATGCCGATTTTAAATATCTGCCCTTGAGTCTTAAACTGCTTGGACAGGTAGTCGGCAGCTGTTAATTTCTTTCGAGTGAATTTATAAACACCATGAATGCCTGCATGAGACCTAAAATGCACAAAGTTGAAGCAGGTGAGTAACCAACCTTGGCGAAATATCGCATCCTTGCTGCATAAAGGCACCCAAGGAAAACCAGAGACTATTAAAAATCCCAAATTCATTAGTTGATTCACTACTTTGTGTTTCTCTTCCATCTTCAAACTCCTCAGTGTGCCACTCGTAGGGGCTAAATCTGCTGACCAGGAATAAAACTACACTGACCCCAATGTAGGCAAAAACAATGCACATCCAGATTTCATAGGCTAAAGGATCAAGAAATGAAAACACTCCTGGTTTGGACTTCTGAGGCTTCTTGATCATGATAGAGATCCCGAGGCTCATAAAGGGCTTTGAGAAGTCAATCACCTCTTCTCTCACAAGGGTAATAGTTAATGGAGCAATTGCAATATCAGCTTTCTGTAAGGGAAACAAAGGAAAGTAATAGTACCTAGAGTCATGGTCAGAAAGGAATCATGGTTCTATTATTTGATCAAAAGGGAAGGAAAGGAAATCAAGGACTTGGCCATAACTATTTCCCTGGTAGATTCCCAGTAACGAATAAACAAAAAAAGCAACTGGTTCCACAGATAACCCTCCTTTTGATAAATACGTAGTACACCCATCTGGCTTGATTATGCTAATTCCATCTTTACACTGCATCTGTGCCTTTGCCACCATTGCACAGCATATGGCCCAGATGCTTCAAGACAGATGCCTGTCTCACTTAATCTGCACGTTTTCTTCGTACTTCATCTTTAATCTTCAAATGTTCACAAGGACATAAGATAACATACTTAAAGTGGGAAACCAACAACCTCAGACAAAGGTACTTTGCAAGGAGGGAGGCATTCTGTCAACAACAGTTCAAATGGAATCACTTTTTATGAGAAGAGCTATACTTACCCCATAGACAAGTTCTCCAACCATCCCATTCCAAATTTTCGTGTCTGCATCCCTGGCCCCATACTTGCCATCCCCAACAATTGTCAGCTTGTACTTGAACCCACAATGTTTGGCGATTTCTGCAGCCAAGTCAACACAGTAGCCCTCATAGCGCTCATTGCCATCAAGCATTTCATGATTTTTCTTCATCATAACATATGGAGATTCCTATATGGAAAGACAGTGCTTTAGTTGATTAAAATAGCTTTGTTATTTACTCTCTGAAACAAATTTTCTAGTTTAATAATTACCCCTTAGCCAGAGACATTGCAGAATCCTTTATAATAAAGAGCTAATATGCTAATTAGACTGGACTGTGGAACAACCTTTCAGAACGACCAGTGGGCAAGGGGGGGCAGGGCCACGAGGCAGCCGGGGCTGCGAGGGCCAAGCCCCTTGCATGAATTTCGTGCATTGGGCCTCTAGTATAAAAGAAAAGATTAAGCATAATCCTTCTGAAAAAAGTCCTCAAATATCTATCATTACATTTCAATAGCATGGCTTGTATCTGGCCCTACCAAAGTAAACAAGAGACTCAAAAGCACAAACTGTTGGCATGCCCCCTTGTCTTGTCTGTAATTCCTGGGGTTTAGAAAGGAAGAATTCTGCTCCACAGCTGTTTAATTCAACTCTGGATCAACCACACTCTTACTCTATGTTAAGGCTATGCCAACCCCAAGAACCACCATTCACCAAAAACCCTAATTCACCGCTACTTCAAGCATAGGGTTCAAGCATGGCCAGTGACATATAGGCTGCAAAGACCATCTCCATGGTGAAGTTCTGATTCTACCCTCTCACGTTTTAGGTCTTGCTTCACCTATGAGATAAAATATCCTAGAATGATACTACAAGGGTAGCTAGTAGCCTCTCCTTGCAAACATAGGAAATAGGAAGCATGAAAAATATGATTCAACATAGCCCCAAATTTTCCTCTGAAAAGTGGCACCAAGGATACATGGGGTCTCCGTGAGATGGTTCCTCTCAATGGCATGATTAAGGCAAAAATCTGCAAATGTGTAGCTTAGACTTATTAAGATATTTCTACATGCCAGCCAATGTTTTTATCCAAATCCTTGTTAGCCTTTCTATATTTTCTCCTCAATATTGTTAGGCTAATGATTCCCACAAAATCCCACATCATGGCTTAGCAAAATAAAATAAAATAGTTTGATCACAAAATTATGTACTATTAGTGAACCCCATTTCCTCTATTTCATTTCACCAACAGTTGCCATGGTGATCTAATCTCCTTTCCATCTACCCCAAACCTCAATGTTCAAGATCCAGTCAATTTTATCTCAGGCATTCGATGCACATTTATTTAGCACAGGCTATTGCCAACTACCGTGTTGAGACTTGGAGTTAAAAAGAAGGGAGATCAGTCTTGCCTTTAAGGACTTCATCTTTTATTATGAAGAAAGAGAGGTTGGCAACATTATGAAAACTTGTAAGAAATGTAAAGACAAAATATACCCACAATGGTATGGAAATGGAAAAGTAAAGCGCCTGAGCAAATACAAGGCATGCTCTTTAAGATTTTACCCGGTTGTCAAATCTGGGGTATGCACCAAGTTATGAGTTATCTGTAAAGCTAAGAGGTAGCTTCATGCTTTAGTTAGTGCTTGTGTAGTCCTTCTGCAAGAGTAAATACTCAATGAATGATTGAAACATTGCAAAAGCAACACTATGATAGTAATTGCCCTAAAATATAATCAGCAATTCTATTTGGCACTACTTTTCATAAGAAAAATAAAGTATAACATAGGATTATGTAGCTAATTACCAAAATTGTAGTGACAACAACAGTCTTATTCTCAAGCCCAGAGGTGTCGTTTCCAGAAGGTAGCTCAGTAAGGGTAACAACCATTTTGTCCACTTCACTCCAGTATCCAATCTGAAAACGGTTACAGAAGGTAGGCAAATGGATAAATGACTTTTTTTTTTATTAGCAAAGCATTTAATTATTTTCTAATCCATGCCTGAATCTGAAGTTATCCTCTATTAACTAGGCTTCTTCTAAACACTGATGTGTCCTTGATATATGTGAATCTAATAGGAACAGAAAGGGACTATAGAACAAACTATTCTTAAAAGCAGTTTGTCTTTTTATGTTCATTTGTCTTATTTGCCAAGGATCATTTGTTTGGGAGTGATCATATAGAAATATAAGTAAAATCCAAAGAGTGGCATTTTGGTCATAAAAGTAAAATAATATATATTGAACAGTAGTGGTTATGTTTTGTCTTCTGAACCGTGAACTTTCAGCAATAGTTCTTTTTCTTCTCAGCAAATTCTTTTTTCCACCATGGTCTAAAAGAAAAGTATAACAGTTCTATTTAAAGATTACTTTTCAGTATTACTTACCAGAAGTGAATAGATTTGAAATAGAAAAAAAACAACAACACACATTTAAAAATATGTCTGGTTCCGGAAGTTGTGAAGCTCAATGTGAATACACATCTTCAGGACTCTTTGGATGATGAAGGGATGGGTTAGCTAACTCACCTTCTCACACAGAGAGAACTGCCTTTAAATCACTAATGATTTACCTTCCGGGGCCCATTTGTTTTGAGCTCCATGATGTTAATTGTATAGTTTATTCTTTTTCCATTCTGGTCAAACTTTATATTTCCTGAGAGACCTTCAACCTGAACCTAATAAGGAAATGGGAAGGGAGCACAGTTACAAATTTACTTCAACGAAGGACACAAACTGTGCAGATTACTCTCACTGGGCTCAAGTCCAGGAAACTACATTTATACGGTTTCTTTTCAACCTCCCACCTGCCTGTGTGTAGTTAGGAAAGAATACTCTCTCTATATTAAACATAAGGAATAAAAGAAGGATGACTGATTCAGCAGAGAAAAAAATGAGAGCCATTGTTAAATCACATGAACAACTGTGTTGAGTGACTGACCTGTTTGAGGGCCCTTTCTATTTCTACACCTTGTCCCCAGGGGACTGCGGGGTTGGCCAGACAGTCTCCTGCATTCCCCCTTCGGGAGATTTCAATTCTCTGCTTCCGTAGGTTGCGGAAAGCTTCAGTCATCACTTGAACAGCATCATAGGTCAGGGCAGAAGTATACTGAAAAATATCACACACATTTCATGAGAATGGGAGAAAATTCAACCTCACACTGCAGTTGCCCACCATACAATACCATTATCAAGTCCAAGAATTCAGACACTGTCTGTGCATCTAAGAACTTAAGAATCTGAGAGAAGTGGTACAGGATATTGGGACTGTGGGAAGTATCTTGACGTGCAACATTTTCTGTTAATATGTCAGTTATTTCAGGTGACACCTTTTATAATAATTATGCCAATGTTGTTGTCTTTTTCTAATTAGTTTCTTTTTTTAATATATTTTATTGATGTTTTACAGAGAGGAAGGGAGAGGGGTAGAGAGTTAGAAACATCGATGAGAAACATTGATCAGCTGCCTCCTGCACACTCCCTACTGGGTATGTGCCCGCAACTAAGGTACATGCCCTTGACCGGAATCGAACCTGGGACCCTTGAGTCCGCAGACTGACGCTCTATCCACTGAGCCAAACCGGTTAAGGCTCTCATCAGTTTCTTATTAGAGCACCACTCTGGTGATACAGAAAATTATCAAATCAATCAGTAACTGTTTCTCCACTGTCTACTGAGACATTCATGTGGCAATAAGGAAAACATACTGATCAGTTTCATGATTCTTCATCTCTAAACAACCTTACTGATGCTCCTGTAGACCTGCAATGGACTTTAGAGTATTTGTTTCTAATGTCCCCTAAATGTTTATGGTAATCAAGTTGAACTACCACCAAACATCATAATCTCTATGCCCCCTTCATGCTTCAACAGTCTATGATAACATTGGTTCCAAACCATGGTATTCAGATCCCATTGGCACAGCAAGGTTATTGCAGGTGCTAAGAACCAAGCAAGAACAAAACAAAACAAAACAAAACTACCCGTGTATTAAACATTGCCTGTATTATTATGTGAACACTAGAGGCCCGATGCACGAAATTCGTGCCAGCGGCTCAGCCCTTGCAGCCCCAGCTTCATTCAGAAGGTTGTCCCGAACGTCATTCCGCTGTTCAGCCATCAGGTCTACTTAGCATATTAAGCTTTATATATATGTATGTATATACACACACACGCACGCACACACACACACACACACACACACACATAGCCATCCATCAAATATATAGTCTAATATGCTAAGTGTCCAGTCGACTGGGCAGCCATTCAACCAATCAAAGCGTAATATGCTAAAGCTATTATAAGGCTGCTCAACCACTCTATGTGACATGCACTGACCACCAGGGGGCAGACGCTCCGACCAGTAGGTTAGCTTGCTGCTGGGGTCTGGCAGATGGGGACTGAACTAGATGGGCAGGACATGCCCTGGAGCCCTCCTGCGGTCCCTCCCTGGCTGGCCAACCTCCTGCATCCCTTCCTGGCCCCGATCATGCACCGGTGGGGTCACTTGGTCTGGCCTGTGCCCTCTTGCAATCTGGGACCACTTGGGGGATGTTGGAGAGCTGGTTTCAGCCCAATCCCACAGGCCAGTCTGGGGGACCCCACTGGTGCATGAATTCGTGCACCAGGCTTCTAGTTTTAACATAAAAGCTTTAAAGAATGCTGAGGAAATGTCTGTTATTGAGTAGTTCCAATCTGTAGGTAACAAAAGTACAGTGTAGCTGGGGGGGGGGGGGGGGTACATTATCATATTGACTTTGTGACACTCTAAAATTCTTAACCATGAGTCCAAAATGAGCACTTAATGTTTCTAAACAATCCTCTTTTCTTTAATGACTTAGTTCTTCCACTCTCAAAAATGTTTATAGTATTTTATAACTTCTTTTATCTTCACAAATACCCACACCTTCGTATACTTCTTTTGCTCTGAATTCCTGCTGATTATCTTGCCCAACATGATAAATATAAACCATCAGACAAAACCCCCTTATATGTCAATCCAACACAACCCACATTATCTGCTTCCCTTGTGAGTTGACATGTGAGGTGACCATACTCCTACACAGGACAGCTACTCCAACAGTGCATTCACTCCCTCCCTCTGAGTGTAAATACTTAAGGACATCTCCCCCCATCCCTGTCACTACTCTGTCAATATCCTGCATTAGCCTTTTTTCTCTCTTTGGGTCATCTCTATTAGCAAATAAACTGCTCTGTTAGGCTCAGTCATTGAAAGAGCCATGAAGTTAAATTGCCTCCATATGCTCAAACATTACTTCCTTAGTGATGTTCTTCTTGCCCAACCCACTCCCACTCTCCTTCACATGATCCTGGTTATTCTCTTCATAGCCTTTACCACTGAGTATCTTGTTCATGCATTCTTCATTTGTCTCCTTCATCTCTCTTCCCTACTAGCATATTTACTCTAGGGAAGCAGAAAACTTGTCTGATTTGTCCGTCACCACTGAATTCTCAGAGTCCAGGGCAGGGCTGGGCACACTGAAGAGAGGAAGGAAGGAAGAATTTAAAGGAAGATCAGAGATCTTCATATGGTTCCCATCTTTACGGGACTCACATTCTATCCTCGCCCAGTGAAAAGATATATAGACAGATAACTACAATAAACCTATTACAGTATTACTAGAGGCCCAGTGCATGAAATTCGTGCACAGGTAAGGCCCCTTGACCTGTCTGGCAATCAGGGCCAATCAGGGCCTTCTGACTGCCAGGTGGGGCCTTGCTTCATTCCTCACTGCTCCCTGGTGATCAGCACATGTCATAGCGAGCTATTGAACTCCTGGTCTCCCGATTGAACTCCCGTTGGGACAATTTGCATATTAGGCTTTTATATATATACTAGGGGCCTGGTGCACGAAATTCATGCACAGGGGGTGGGTTCCTCAGCCCAATCTACATCTTCTCCAATCTGGGAACACTCAGGGGAGCCATCTCCAATCTGGGAGTTTCTGTCTGTCTTTGCAATCATATGAGTGAATTGTCTGAGATCCCCAACCCAGTTTGGTTTGGTGCTCACAAAATAATAGAGGTCTTTTTTTTCTTGTTCTTTGCTCCATTGGTGGAGATTTCCTGGAAATTGCAGGATATCTTCCTTTTAATTTTTCCTTGACTTTACTTATGTCTCTTGCCTTTGCTTTCCTTCCATCCCCCACCCGCAACAGTAACTTGCTCCAGGCTCACTTTGCTCTAGTGTCTAGGACAGTGATGGCGAACCTATGACACACGAGTCAGAGGTGACACGCGAACTCATTTTTTTGGTTGATTTTTCTTTGTTAAATGGCATTTAAATATATAAAATAAATATCAAAAATATAAGTCTTTATTTTACTATGGTTGCAAATATCAAAAAATTTCTATATGTGACACGGCACCAGAGTTAAGTTAGGGTTTTTCAAAATGCTGACACACCAAGCTCAAAAGGTTCGCCATCACTGGTCTAGGAGATCCTGCAATGCTTTTGCCACCAAAACTATGATTCCCAGCATTCCTGGTGCTCCCTGCGCTCTGGGCTTCCACTTCCAGTCCAGGGGCTGCCACCAGAACTATGATTCCCAGAATTCCTGGTGCTCCCTGTGATCTTGGTTTCTGCTTCCAGTCCAGGGGCTGCAGAAACCAAAAGGACTGGGAACTCCAGCTGCCCCCAGGCTGGGCTGACAGGACCGGACACTCCAGTGGATCCCCGGAACCCCGGTTGCTCAGCGCTGGCGCATGTGCACATTGCCCACAGGCTTGGAATGGGCAGGGTCCTGGGGACGCCCACCATGTCACCCTGACTACGTGGCAGGCGGGCGTCCCACCCTGCCCCCAGCCGCTTGGCGCCTGCACACGTGCACGTTGCCCACAGGCCTGCCATCTTTGTCAGGTTAATTTGCATACTCCTGATTGGCTGTGGATGTTGTGGAGGGATGGTCAGTTTACATATTTGTTCATTATTAGTATAGATAGATGAATGGGTCTGATGGTGGACAGCTTTCTGTCTTGTTTTTTAAATATGAGAGATGTTACACTAAGGTAAATGAGAAAATAATTTATGTTGTATAAATTATCCCCTCCATGCATCCAGAATTTTTAATTTTTTTTTTCATTTACAATTTATATTCAATATTATTTTGTATTAGGTATACAGCATAGTAGTTAGATAGCCATATACTTTACAAAATGTATCCCTCAGTATTTCCAGTACCCAATTGGCACCATACATACTTATTACATTGTTATTCACTATATTCCCTATGCTGTACTTTACATCCCCTTGACTATTTTGTAACTACCAACCTATACTTCTTAATAGCTTCACCTTTTTCACACATCCCCCACAACGCCTCCCCTCTAGCAACCTTCAGTGTGTTCTCTGTGTCAGAATCTATTTCAATTTTGTTTATTTTGTTCTTTAGATTCCAAGTATATGTGAATTCATAGGGTATTTGTCTACATCCAAACATTTTTAAGCCTCTATTTCTAATGGTACAGTTGTAGTGTGAAATCATTTATTTAATCTGTATGAATTAGTTTAGTTGAATTGCTTTCATTCTATCATGAGAGTGAATCAAACTTAATGGGAAAGTTGGGAGGAAGAAAAAGAAAAAAATTATTTGCAGGTCATGTGTACTGCGACTGAAAACTCTTAATTGTAATGATAGTCATATTTACCCCTCAATTTTCCTACTTGAATTTCTCCTCCTGTGCTAGTTAAGCAATGTCATTGCATGCCTATATGTGAGTCCTCCTTGACATATGTAGATTATCTCCTGGATAGTGGTACTGGAGTTTCCTACAAATACCTGAACTAGACAAATCTAAACAAAACCAATTACCATTTTTTCCAAAATCTGTAACCCTTCCCTTCCAAGTGTGTATACAAGAAATTAGCAAAATATAGTATGTTACAGATCCATGTAGGCAATTTATATTCTCAGATTTAAAATGTAATTATTGGGAAACTATCTTAAGAAAATATTATCAAATACAAATATTTTTTATACAAAGAAATGAATTTCAGTATTATTTGTACTAAATTTCTGACAGTAAAGAGATGTTTAAAAACTATGATTTCTATCTTGAGGAAGTATTATGCAGCCATTAGAAGTGATA